AAGATACTAGGGCTGACACCAGAAGAAATAAACCCTAAGATTACCGTTACTGGTACGAAGTTACCAGATCTAGTTCCATACCGCGAGCTATGCGTTCATCTCGATCAGCTTAGCACAACAGATAATGTACAAAGTGAACGTCCTTCCACATTGTTGAGGGCTGTCCCGGTTAAAACAGAAAAATACAATGACGGACGCACCGAGTCGTTTTCATCGCGACAGTATAAAAAATTGATAAATGGTAATATTTCTGAATTAAAAATATCAATTTTAGATACAAAAATAATAATATAAATATAGGATAACTCAGCGTAACACTACATAACAATAATGGCTAGCAATCAAGGCCCAGGAATGCGAGTAAAAGATGCAGTAATGTAGGATTATCAGACCTAGGTGATACTAGGGGTTTGATGACTCAGGAATAGTTGGTAAAATTTACGCTTTAAAGCTTGTAAACAGCATTTACAAACGAGTTGAAGTTCCCGTCGTCAGTGGGTCTGGTAGTACTTTTAACCTAGACACATCAAGATCTGTCAGCAACACTCGATACGATATAGTTCGCAACGACGAGGATGAATGGAGAATATACCCATCGTTCGGTGGTAAATTGTTCGATTTAGAAGACTTTGACAGAACGGACGTTGATAAAACAAACCGTACTATCTAATGCTCACTAACGATAACAAGTGGATGATGTTGCCATCTCGAATCAACTGGTTTCTCAACATCATACTAAGTTCCCCATACGTATTCACGGAAAACAAAGACGACTTACTAAACAAAGTCGTTAACAACGGAAGCCTAATCGTGGCTTACGTCCCATCAGAGAGAGACGCAGTGTAATCATCAACCCACTCTCGACTATGTCAGCCCACATGCTATCGGTCATTCTCTTCCCACAGAGGTTACTCCTGTCATATCTTCCTACATAACCTCTGTTCTAATACGGCCCCTTTCATGGTGTGAGCGTTCAAGACTCGTGATTGGAGACAATCAGATTTAGTTGTGCAATCAGCGACGTTGTTTCAAAAGTGATCATTCGCAAGGCCTCGGTAATTTCCGTATGCTTCGAGAAAACTAAACTTCTTCCCTGCGCGATGCGCAAAAGTTTCTTCTAGACAGAACTCAGTCATGTTATGGCGGATCAGTGGCGTCTCCATCGCCCTCGTTGACAACGGACAAGCTAGCCATTAAACGTCTTGTGTAACATCAACACAAGTCACCGGCAGATGGGGATATTTGTGGCCCCACATTTGCTTGTGTTAGTTAAGTTGAATCTAAGTCGATGTAACAGGCTTTCTGATTGGATGGAAAGAAGGGAGATAATTCGCGTTGCGATCTTTTTTGCCGCTAGGGGATTTTACGAGAACCGGGAAATATGGCCGTATTAGAACAGAGGTTACGTAGGAAGATATGACAGGAGTAACCTCTGTGGGAAGAGAATGGCTATCGGTTTAAACCAGGAGAAAAACGCGGTATTGAAGTTGGTTTCTGATTTCGACGGCGTGATCAACATCTTGCAAAATCTACCGGAGAATTCCACGCTGTTCATCCAAGTCTACCTAGGTCAATCAACGCAGAGTGAGATTGAGATCGTGAAGGGAATCAAACTCCAGTGGGCTAAAAAACACCAGTATCGCGTTTGCTCTATTTACGTGCGGGTGAGAGACGATTCACACACCAGTCTGCAGGATGTCACCGTTAACGTGGAAGACACTATATCTCTAGCTAGTATTTTTCTATCTGAGAACATACATTTTATGGAACTGACGTTAACGCCTGAGAAATTATCAGAAAAACAATTGGAAACTATTTTATAACAGTTACTAGTATATAAACAATGGTAAGTCATAACACCAATGTAACACTCGGTGATCTAGGAGACACAAAGCGGTTCAATTTACCTGGTGAGGAAGACACCCCGTACCTACTATACTATAAAGACGACGTATGCGAACGAATGCCACTAGCAGATATTTCAGAGATTGAATGGTTAATTAAAATAACACTTATAAAACAGATTTGGTTCCCCCATAGTAAAAGTTCCGGCGGAACTTTTTCATTCCAACATTTGTTCCTGTAATAGTGCATGCGGAACAATTATTTCGTTCCGCACACACAGAATTTATTCCGGATAAAGAGGAAGTTCACACACATCATAAAGTGTCTAAAAAGAGGGTTTTGTTTGTTGGGGTGGTCTTAAAATTGGGGCGTGGGGGAACGGAAAGGAAAAAGATTTTCCTACGGTGTTTGTTCCATATGGAACAAATCATGTGGCTATCAAGAAGCAGTTATCATGTGTGAAAGTTACCTTTATTTTTTTTATGAAAATACATTGTAGATTCCCCAGAATGCGAACTGATGATTCTAAGTGAATCTTGTGTTAAAAGAGTTCAGTTATTATGTAACCAAGCTACCTTCATTAATCAGGTTACAGTCAGTAGCCAGGTTACAGTCAACATGTAACCAAGTTACAGTCAGTCAGTAGCCAGGTTACAGTCAATATGTAACCAAGTTACAGTTAGTCAGTAGCCAGGTTACAGTCAATATGTAGTCAAGTTACAGTCAGTAGCCAGGTTACAGTCAACATGTAACCAAGTTACAGTCAGTCAGTAGCCAGGTTACAGTCAACATGTAACCAAGTTACAGTCAGTCAGTAGCCAGGCAACAGTCAATATGTAACCAAGTAACAGTCAGTCAGTAGCCAGGTTACAGTCAACATGTAACCAATTAACAGTCAGTCAGTAGCCAGATTACAGTCAAAATGTAACCAAGTTACAGTTAGTCAGTAGCCAGGTTAAAGACACCATGTAACCAAGTTACAGTCAGTAGCCAGGTTAGTCAACATGTAACCAAGTTACAGTTAGTCAGTAGCCAGGTTACAGTCAACATGTAAACGGGTTACAGTCAGTAGCCAGGTTACAGTCAACATGTAACCAAGTTACAGTTAGTCAGTAGCCAGGTTACAGTCAACATGTAAACCAAAGTTACAGCCAGTAGCCAGGTTATAGTCAACATGTAAACCAAGTTACAGTTAGTCAGTAGCCAGGTTACAGTCGACATGTAACCAAGTTAGTCAGTAGCCAGGTTACAGTCAACATGTAAAGAAGTGCCAGTCAGTAGCCAGGTTACAGTCGACATGTAACCAAGTTACAGTCAGTAGCCAGGTTACAGTCAACATGTAACCAAGTTACAGTTAGTCAGTAGCCAGGTTACAGTCAATATGTAACCAAGTTACAGTTAGTCAGTAGCCAGGTTACAGTCAACATGTAACCAAGTTTCAGTTAGTCAGTAGCCAGGTTACAGTCAGTCAACATGTAACCAAGTTGAAGTTAGTAGACATCCGGATGCTGACAAGTTGGATGAGTCCATTTTGCATTCAATAATGACTGGAATAGGTTAGGCCTACGGTATTTGTTACTGTTCGATGGAATATTTGCCGTATGTGCGGAATTTTATTCGTGTCATCCATTCTCAATTTCACGTCATTTATTCCGAACCGGAACATTTACTACTCGGAACTAAATCATGTTTACACACTAACCTCACCTTACATCTTTTTAATCAAAATGATTTCATTTCCAAAATTACAAACAACGGGATTCTTCTCACGTCCTTTAATCCCTTCAAAGAAAATACTGTTCAAGTATTACAAATACCAGGGCACACTGGTAACATGTTAGCTCCAGTCGACTTGAATGCCAGTTTATTCATTCGCAGCATTTACGATTACCAACGTGATTTTTGTTCAGATTCAAATTATGGTATGAAATCACACACCACGCTAGTTATAGACTTATATCTCGCAGAGATGTCCAGTCAAGAATACTTTTAGACGGCCTGAGAATAATTTGGTTTAAAAAGACACGAGAATAAACGTTGCCGAATCATAATAAGACAAGGTTATAAACCATTAATAAGCCTAGATGGGGTTAGTATTTTAGACGAAAACATACCTATTAATGTCTCACCCATTTACCTGTACAATAATCTAAACCTTATAAGCCTCAAATATATTAATCAAAAATTAAATGACATATAATTAAAAAATAATTTATAAAATATATTATAAACACATAAAATGGGGCTATACCCAGTCTTTGATGAAGAAGGAAATATAAAGGGAAGTGTAGAAGGGTTTCGACTTAAACAGATATGTGAAATAAAACGTCAGCTAGAACAAGACCGTGATATTAGGGCATCAGGGCATCGCTACACAATACAATAGAACTTTAAACTACATAAATGGGGCTGATACCACTCTTGTGACAACTAGCATGGGATTTGGAGCAGTCGGAGTTGGATTGTTGACCACCATCGTAGCCGCACCAGTGGTGTTAGGCCTTGAAATAACAGCTGTAGTGACAAGAATAGCTGGGTCAGTGTTTAAATTTGTATCTCGCAAATTGAAACGTAAACTAGAATTTTTGCTGAAGCAAAGTTAAACACTATAGAAGACCATATTTCCACCGCACTCAATGATAATAAAATCTCAGAGGAAGAGTTTCGTTTGATCCTATGTGAACTAAAAAAAATACAACAAAATGAAAGAAGAGATTCGATCAAAGTTTCATTAAAAAAGTTCTGCTATCTGCGAGAACGAGAAAAAAACCAACATAAACCAAGGGATACAACAAGCCCAACAAGCATTTATTACGAAAACCAAAGACATCATAGAAGATACACATTAAATTGTTTTGCTTGAAGTCAATATTTAAAATTGATGTGATCTTATGGGTTTACAAATTGAGGAATAGATACTTATTGATTGCTTGCCTTATATAGGATGACCCCATACTCCATAGTCTTACTCTTTCGAGTAAGACTATGGTTACTTTTTACATGGGAGATAAAAAGTATTTGTGTATGGGTTTATGGTTCCCGTACCACATAGTCTTTCGAGTAAGACTATGGTTACTTTTTACATGGGAGATAAAAAGTATTTGTGTATGGGTTTATGGTTCCCGTACCACATAGTCTTTCGAGTAAGACTGTGGTTACTTTTTACAGGGGAGATGAAAAGTAGTTGTGTTATGGATTTATAAATTAATATGAGTTAGGAATGGATACTTATTGATTCCTTGCCTTATATAGGCTGGTCCCGTACCCCCATTGTTTATACTACTGCAGCAACAACCATTACATATTGGTTCAGCAATTTGAATAATTGTATAACACAGGATAAACTCGGTTAATCAAACTATTGTTTTGTTTGTAATATTCCTTGTAACATAAAAAGTTACGCGAAGGTACAATATATCCACTTTTGTACCATTTATACAGAGCACCATTTTAAGGATTTTAAGAACGCCATTAAAGCAAGCACAAGTCGCCCCATTATTACAAAGGTGAATGAATCGGTGTGTACATTTGTTGTGTAATTATGCTCCCCAGGACAAATGGTTGCCCACCCCCTTAAAATCATCATCATCCCCTCTAGCCATAAATTATGAACGGTGTTTGCTACACATTGAAGACGATCACACACATATCAGGAACAACTGGTGCAGATAATAGTCGTCCTCGACCCCGTAGATTGTCTGACCGTGTGATCTTCAGCGCCGTCCAAGGTCACTCCTTATAGGGAAAGAAGGGATGATCTTTCCATCTGGAACACAGGAAGCATGACAGTTGATTGGACGAGAGTGTGAAGTTCAACGTAGTCTCTATCACCACCATATGTTACCGTATTTTCTTTACCTGTACGGTAGTCAGAGACAATTGACCGCATACAGTATGTCACTATTTTCACTACAGGTGGTTCAGTCGTCTTACGCGATTCTCATCAGAGTTGCGCCCCTTTGGCAAATGAGTACGAGTGATGGAGAAATGCTCTAACTCTAAGACATGCAAAACCACTACTGATGTTCCAACCCAACACTACTGACAAAATATACCCATAGAAACGAATAAGGAAACGCATGAAAGTACAAGTGTTCCTTTATATAATTTCAGAATTCCACTCACAGTGCAATACATACTTTGTGAAGAAACCTGGAAAAGAATAAAGGAACACTTGTACTTTCATTTTTCCTTTTTCGTTTCCCTGAGTATATATATTTTTTCTGGGTCAGTTGAATTTATACCCTCCAATATTAAACTGAGCTCCAATATGTTCAAAAACAAAAAGCATTTCCCGTGTTTCTTTACCTATTTGCATCTGAAGCTCACAATCTAACTGTATGTTCCAGACCATCAATCACTTGCTTGTCTGGTTTGTCACAAACACCACAAACCCTGATTTTTGTAATACATTCAAATATTTTTGACACCATTTTTTGTACTTTAAACCAAACAGAATATGTTTCGGAAAATCATCAAAATAGGGTATTGTTTTACACTTTTTACATGTCCCCGAAACAAACTACAAAAGCACTTTATGTTTGTTACTTAAAGTCCATCCTGGGGCGGTGGGGTAGCCTAGTGATTAAAGCGTTGGCTCGTCACGCCGAAGACCCGGGTTCGAATCCCCACATGGGTACAATGAGTGAAGCCCATTTCTGGTGTCCCCCGCCTTGATTATGCTGGAATATTGCTAAAAGCGGCGTAAAACCAATCTCTCAGTCAGTCAGTCCATCCTACCAACATAAGCCTAAAATAAGTGTACATGTTTCCATCACCCTCCTCTATAGACTGACATAAACAACTGTGATTACTCGAATTTTTGATAGTTGTTTCTAAGGCCTCTGTCCAGAGCTAGCATTGTCTTCATATCCTCCTCACTGAGCTTGAAGTCAAATATCTGAAACAAGTAGATTTGATATGTGAAACAACATGCAAAATACACTTCACGTGTCATTCTGCAGATACTGAGTAAGGCATTTCACTGGAATATCAATAAAACCTGGTTTTATCTTCGTTCAATATGAGAAGAAAACATTTTTTTCATCTGTCGGTCCCTTGTTTTCTCTTGAGAACAGCAGATTATATAGACAGTCAAAACAAACACAGCGAACTAGGCCACATGTTCCTGTGAATTATTACATATACTTCCTATTAAAAGTTTAGACTCACAAATGTAAATATAGCCACTTGCTTCAGTCAACTGTTCTTATTGAAATTTTGCAAAATATTCCATACTGTTTAAAGATACTGTTTATACCTGAACTGATGTATTGTAAAACAGTCAAAACACACGCAGCGAACTAGGCCACATGTTCCTGTGAATTATTACATATACTTCCTATTAAAAGTTTAGACTCACAAATGTAAATATAGCCACTTGCTTCAGTCAACTGTTCTTATTGAAATTTTGCAAAATATTCCATACTGTTTAAAGATACTGTTTATACCTGAACTGATGTATTGTAAAACAGTCAAAACACACGCATAACGAACTAGGCCACATGTTCCTGTGAATTATTACATATACTTCCTATTAAAAGTTTAGACTCACAAATGTAAATATAGCCACTTGCTTCAGTCAACTGTTCTTATTGAAATTTTGCAAAATATTCCATACTGTTTAAAGATACTGTTTATACCTGAACTGATGTATTGTAAAACAGTCAAAACACACGCAGCGAACAAGGCCACATGTTCCTGTGAATTATTATATACTTCCTATTAAAAGTTTAGACTCACAAATGTAAATATAGCCACTTGCTTCAGTCAACTGTTCTTATTGAAATTTTGTAAAATATTCCATACTGTTTAAAGATACTGTTTATACCTAAACTGATGTATTGTAAAACAGTCAAAACACACGCAGCGAACTAGGCCACATGTTCCTGTGAATTATTACATATACTTCCTATTAAAAGTTTAGACTCACAAATGTAAATATAGCCACTTGCTTCAGTCAACTGTTCTTATTGAAATTTTGCAAAATATTCCATACTGTTTAAAGATACTGTTTATACCTGAACTGATGTATTGTAAAACAGTCAAAACACACGCAGCGAACTAGGCCACATGTTCCTGTGAATTATTACATATACTTCCTATTAAAAGTTTAGACTCACAAATGTAAATATAGCCACTTGCTTCAGTCAACTGTTCTTATTGAAATTTTGCAAAATATTCCATACTGTTTAAAGATACTGTTTATACCTGAACTGATGTATTGTAAAACAGTCAAAACACACGCAGCGAACTAGGCCACATGTTCCTGTGAATTATTACATATACTTCCTATTAAAAGTTTAGACTCACAAATGTAAATATAGCCACTTGCTTCAGTCAACTGTTCTTATTGAAATTTTGCAAAATATTCCACACTGTTTAAAGATACTGTTTATACCTGAACTGATGTATTGTAAAACAACTTCGTTCAGTTGAAAATGAGTCATGAGTTCAAGAAATGATAAAACTCAGTAAATTGGCGAATTCCTAACAAAACTTTACACCAAAACACACCTGGTCACATGTATAATATTCGCACATGCTTTTCAGCTGTTTGATGCATGATCCTCGTGCAATTCATCTGCATCAGGTTTGCAGTTGGTTCCCCCAAGTTAGTGGAGAAATCAATCTTCGATGTAACCATATATATACCTAACATATAATGACTGTTTTCAGTGAGTCTAAACTTTTGATGGAAAGTATAGTTCCAAAGAGAACAAATACTCACATCCATGTTCTGGGCCAGATGAGCTGGATTCGTACTCTTGGGAATTACAGCATAGCCTCTCTGTATGCCATATCTGAGGATCACCTGATGCACAAGAATACTTTGGGTCAGTAGTACATCGGAAGTAGCAACAGATATCTTGTTTGGAATCATAACAACCTTTCTACAGGGGGGGGGGTGGTGGTGGTGGGTGGTACATAGAACAAATCTCCACATCTAGCAGAAGCTGCAGAACATCGTCTGTGACATTTCTGTTGAGTGGGTGGGTGAGTTTAGTTTTACGCCACACTCAGCAATATTCAAGCTATATGGCGGCGGTCTGTAAATAATCGAGTCTGGACCAGACAATCCAGTGATCATCAGCATGAGCATCTATCTGCTCAAATGGGAACCGATGACATGTGCCAACCAAGCCAGCGAGCCTGACCACCCGATCCCGTTAGTCGCCTCCTACGACAAGCATCGGTTACTGAAGGGTCATTCTAACCCGGATCTTCACGGGTACATTTCTGTTGAGAACAGTATAACATCGTCAATAACAAATATGTCAGGACAAGTATTACATATCATAAATAACATATTTGTTGTTATTACATTGTAAATAACATATTTGTTGTGACAAATATTCCATCGTAAATAACTCAGTTGTGGTGCCAAAAGAAAGTGAACAAAATTGAATACAGATCTGCAGATACGCGTGCCTAAAGTCTGGAACAGAAAACCTGATTAATTGGCGGTTGGAAAAGAAACATTAAATACCAGTTAGACAGTAATTGAATATTAAAACCAAAACATCCAATATCTTCTTTATACTTCTGTCAACGCAAAGGAAAAACCAGTCTAGATTATCCACTGAACACCAGGTGTTTGCATGTCCTCACCTGCTGGTAGCATCCGCCACTCAAATGACTAAAAACACTGTTGTCACCAATGTTGGTTATTCCATAGATATCCAGCTACTCAACTCTGAGATAAACATTGACATTGGGTCACGCCAGTGAACGACGTGTAAGCACCAGTAAGGTAAGACGTCATGACACATGTAAGACATGCATGGAAGCCTCGCCCATAATATACGTAACAGTGCCTTTATGTCCCCTACAGACATCGCCTGATTGTGACCTGAGCCAATGGAGTTTATATTCGCCCATTTAAAGCAAGAAAAGATGACACACCTGTCTGTTGGACCTGTTTGTTACATACCACCGCAATCCACTACATACGTTTGCCGTGACAAAAGGTTTAAGAATCCCCTTTGAACTAGCAAAATAGAACACAGACAAGTCTAAAATATTCAATAATATATTGAGCAAACAATGAGCAAGCTACAATGAATGACAATACCGATATCTAGTACAATGCAATTGAGTCACAAATCTACAATATTGGGTCACAAATATGTGAAATGTAAGTCAGCTTGACGATGGCAGACAGTCTTGAAATGTAGGTCGGCTTGACGATGGCAGACAGATGCGTATAACTCCAGTGATGTGATAAGTCCCGTCGCACAACGCAACAACCTGCCTTTACATAGCTCTTCCAGAGTTCTCGAGCATTGTCCACTCAGAACATTCACGAACGCCATCGTAAACACAAGAAGTGACAAGAACCGGAAGTCAAAGAAAAATAGTGCCAGCCAAGGGAGGCAACTCTGAAGCGCTATCAAAAAGGCGTGCCGCTAAAAATACTATTGCCATTGAACATATATGATGCGAGATGTGAGCCACAACCCACACTCAAAACTTTAAACATTGTGACCCATAACAACTATCACTTAATCAATGTGATATTACAAAATACAAAACACACACTCTCATAACAACGTGACTGAATAAAACTATTAGAAAGTCCCTATCAATATATGTTATTGCTGCAATATGTAACCTCTGACTGTCCAAAGTCATGGTATAATTAAGATTTATGTATTGGTGACTATCTGACATATTTTTTTACATGACAGTATACCTGAGCCGAAGATTTGTTGTATTTCGTTCCTATTTCGACAATGGTCGGGTCTTCAAGGGTCTTTGGAGCATCCTTGGGTACACTGAAATATATGAAGGCAAGCGTCATCAATGAGCTCTGCAATGCAGGGTCGTGTCGGAATTCTCATGCTGTCGTCTGACTGTTATAACTGTGTTTAACTGTTATGTGGAACTAAGGAGCTTTGGTGCGTCTTTGGGTATACTGAAATATTTGATGGTAAGACTCATCGATGAGCTCGTCAGTGCAGGCTTGGTATAGCAAATATGTTAACTATTTATTGATTTTGTACACAGATTAGATCTGGACGTTCACAGCTAATGTTCATCTCAAATTGGGAATCAACACGAAACAACTCTCCATTTGAACTCTTTGTTAAAGGTACTCTTCCTGGTGTGGTAGTGAGTGTGTTTGTAACAATTCTCTGAAAATGCAAAGGTGTGTTTGTTGACGTACATCAGGTGATCTTAACAAGACAAGCCAATGAAACACAAAACGCGGATAGTAGTTTCTGTTGAGGCGTCATCGTAACGTTACCACAAAATGCATTTGGGTTACGTCCTTGGTGTTACACTTAAATGGAAGTTACATGCAGTAACTGGAATCAAATCCAGACACGAATCATGCTGAAAAGTGATGAATATCCGTTTCGTTAACTTCCGATGTATGTTTGAGCCATATGAGGACTAGATGAACTGCTGTAGACGGTGACCGCTAGAGGCGGTTGTATTTCACGATGTTACACATGACAGTGTGAAGCTGTGAAATTTCGTTGGTTGGAAAGTAAAACATTTCTGTAAATATTTCTTCAAATATACTCGATCTACCTTAAAGGTGGTATGATGGTACCATCACAGTGGGACACAATTTTTAGACATTGTTGCCCAATGTAGTTCTGTAATCCTGCGCTGGACTTACAACGGGGAAAATGGACGACAGCTGACTTGGTAGTGTTCATGTAGGCAAGGACCCCCGCTACTGTCAATATAGGAGTACATAACTCAACTTACTAGTTCTGTCCCGGCGCCCCGAACGGAGCATAGGCTGTAGTTGAGATGCCGTTCTTGAGGGAGAACTGCAGAAGTTCGTCCTCTGCCAGATATGGAGTTATCTCCACCTGAAACAAACAACATTGTCAACACTATGTCAGGTCTTTGAACCGCGTGTTAGGGAAGTGATGCAGGCATCGGATGTTTACTAGTCTGGTTACCTCACGAGCACAGGGCATATTAGAAGCATTATATGGGGAATCATGTGGTGTCATATCTACCTGGTTATTCGCAGGCTTGTACCTGAGACCGTCCATTTCGAGTATCCTCTCCAGTTGTTGTTTATTGAAGTTGGAAACACCGATGGACCTGACAAGACCCTTTGTCCACGAAGCTTCTCCATGGCCTGCGGGGAGGAGAGTGATATTAAGTACCTTATGTATTCCCTTGCCATATATAACGAGTTCCTACCACAGGTTATTCTCAGAGTAAAAGAAGTAATCATTGATCCAGAAAATATCTAACATTTTAAACAAAGTTCCTTTGGGCACATAGACAAAATACATTATGTTATTTAAATTTGATATTTGATAAAGCTTTTCAAAAATCAAAGGTAGCTATATTCTTCAATGAAATAAGTTACAACGAATCATTAAAGTCTGTTCCTCTTATGTTCATTGGACACTTACAATTGAAGTACAAATAACATCAACACCAGAACCGCTTATAAACAACTAGAGTGGTGGCAGTTGAGATTCAGATTCGTTTCTGCTGTATGTATTGATACCTTCCCATTGTCTTACTCAGCTTTGACTTTGACTGAATTGACTTTGAATGAATTGTATATTTTCATGATTTGACTTTTCCTCATGTTTCGTTTTCTAAGGGAGGCGGTGCTGTTTATAATCCAGGAAGATCCTGATTGTCATTGGTCTTCAGCAACCCATCCTTGTCGTAAGAGACGTCAAACGGGATCGGACGGTCAGACTCGCTGACTTGACACATGTCACCGTTTCCCAGTTACGTAGATCGATGCTCATGATGTTGGTCACTGGATTGCCTCATCCAGACTTTATTATTCACAGATATAGCTTGAACATTGCTGAATGTGGCGTTAAACAACAAGCACACCGCGTTTGTGAGCGTACACTAATACAGTTCAGTGTTAGAGTTGGGCTGGAGGCTACCTACTTTCCACGTGTCCAGGTAGTCCGTCATGGTCGGCTCGGTCTGCCTCATGTCCTTGGGGAACACAATTATGCAGACATATACATACAATATCCTTCTCGTTACGACATTAAATACATCAAACAATCATTTGCTAACTAATCTTTAGTATAATGTGGTCTATTAAGTTCAAAATTCCATTGCACCTTCAGATAAAAACTAAACTGTTGACAAATTTATGACAATATTTCATAACATTTAGATAACCAATAATTTGATATCCGACTTCAACATGGATGGTTAAATCACAAAAGGCAGAGACGTCTTGACTCACAATGAAAGCCATGGGAAAGTGTATTAGGTACAGATCTATATAATCCATTTCTAGGGCCTCCAGTGACTTGCGACACGCTGGCTCCACCTGATCTGGTTCGTGACAGTGCCCCCACATCTGCAATGATAACACACCAGAATGATGACATACATTTAAAGCTGTTGTGAAAGGGTGTTCGCAGTATCAAATTAACCTTGTTTACATCCTACCTTCGTCACAATAAACAGCTCTTCCCTCTTTATTTTCCCTTCTTTTATCAGTTCTTTAACGGCGACCCCAATTTCCGGTTCCGTTTTAAAGACCAAGGCTGTGTCAATATGGCGGTATCCCATCTGTATTGCGGCCTTCACTGCATCATCAACCTTGTTAGGCTGTTGGGAAAAACAGATTGATTGTCTACTGTTACTGAGTCTCTAAAAGAAGTGAGTGTGAAGCCAATAAACAAATTACAATGTGCTGTAATTAACAACTGCATTCTATAATTGAATAAGTTATAAAATCAATACAAAGTTAGTACTATGACAGTACAACATAGACTACAAAATATAATAGTACATATCAAGAGGCAGTATAATACACGAGCGGTGATTATAACAGTCCATACATATATATTAAAGGCATATTAACCTTCAGCAACGGTAATCCGACCAGTAACTCTAGGCCTAAGCAGGGTATATGGCCATTACACAAAATGCTGGTATTCTGGTAACTTGTGGTGTAATGTGAGATGAGGGGCAATAGCTAGCTCGCTTCATATACACAAAAAAAAATTCTAAAAAGTTCTGTGGTTGAAAACGCGATGGAAGCCACTAGAAATACTAGTATGTCTAAATATAGCGCAAGTCTAAATATGGCACGCAACTGCCCCTTAATGAACCCATTAACTGCTGTACTGTTGTATAACTGTTGAAACATTGTTGAATAATGTGTAACACTGCATATATGTTATCTGTTAACGGCTATTGCGACCTTTAGTGGTGCCAGGATCCGTGTATTTGAATTCCACATTCCCCCCGATAATGATCCTTTGTCTGTCCGAACCATAGCTGGGTTCGTGGGTTTTGAAATGAAACTAATCGCCAACAAATTATTCTGCAGTCAACATCCAACATCAACGTGTAACACTGCATATATGTTATCTGTTAAAGGCTATTGCGACCTTTAGTGGTGAAAGGATCCGTGTATTTGAATCCCACATTCCACCCGATAATGATCCTTTGTCTGTCCGAACCACAGCTGGGTTCGTGGGTTTTGAAATAAAACTAATCGCCAACAAATTATTCTGCAGTCAACATCCACCCTGGAGTGTACCAGCAACATAACCTTAAAGTCAAACGGGGAGAATACAGTCCGCATCCTCTCTTGTGTCTACAGTCAGCATCTGCCTGATATCTACAGTCCACACCTAAACGCAAATCTCCAGTCAACATCTGCCCGGAGGTGTACAGCAAACATCTGCCTGGCGGCCTCTAATCTTCCCAGAGTTCTAGATTGAACATCTACCCCGAGGTCTAAAGTACTGTCGGAAATGCTAGAAAAATGCTTTTTGACTTATATTTAAAATTCAGAGGTATTACAGTTACTTAAATAGCAAATATATCTTTAAGAAACATCTACCTAATGTAGACAGAGGGAATAAATTGTGAGACATGCCCTAAAATGCGTTTTTACTGATGAAAATACCAAAAACTTTTAAAAAAAAGGGGTAGTGGGACGTTATTTGATACAAACATTAACTGCCTGTGTTACGTCATCAGCATACACGGTATCGACAGGTGAAATTGACACCCGAGCACATGCTCGGGCGAGGGGTCATCTCAATACATGTTTTCTTCAAAATGTTGAATATGTGTAAGTATAGTATACGTATTGGTTATGGAAGGGATCATTTGTGTATGTGTGTTTGTTGTGAAATAAACATACGAATTACTGTAAATTGGAAAGAATCCTATCACTTGTGTTATCTTATTGATTGATTGTAGAAATGTGCAACGTTTTAATAAATGTTTGGCATGTCAACAGTATATTTCATTGCAAAAATATGGATGTAATTCGGTCAGTTTAATCTAGTTGTGAACACAGGCAGACAAAGATTTATCGAAGTCACTGGTGTAGCTTCTTTAGAATATATATATTCTTCTTCTCCTAAAGTTTGTAGACCGCCAGTCTAAGTACTCCCTTGTCAAAGTTGTCAAGGATGGTTTTACGTCCTGGTTTTGCTTTTAAGACGGTCCCTGTCTCGTCTGATTTGTTTACAATATTGTAAACTTGTTGGTAAGACATACCGACAGCTCTACAAGTTCTGTATTAAACCATTTCTATACTAATGAAAGGTTTACCGCTGTCTTTTTCAAGCACAAACAACTTATAAACCTTTGCAACAATGCAGCCTGCAAATAGTTGGCCATAGTGGACGCTGTGATAAAGATGTGCATGCATGACGGGAAACATATTTATCAAGACTTAACATTTATATTAATATTTCTTCAATAAAGAAACGATAATTAAGTAAAGTAACACAAACATTCAACATTTATTTGTTTAAGAAAAACGTTAATTTATATTTTTACGCCACCTGTATTATTAGCATAAATGTAAAGACTATTTCAGATTTCTGTTGTTGAACTCTGAAAAAATCTTATGTTGTTGTTTTGGTACCGAATTTTCTCCTGTAAACTGCCCTTTAAATGCATGGGAATGTTAAATCAATTGAAATAAAAATTAGGTAGACTATAGGTGAGTTGATATATTGACAACATAATACATTTATCACCTTTCTAAAGATATTAAGGCTAAAAAGCATTTTTCTAGCATTTCCGACAGTACTTTAGATTCCACAACTATCCTGGGCCTTGTTTCACAAAGCTATCGTAGCGTTGCGACTGTCGTAACTCCTGTACTGTAACATACAGTTGCGACAGTCGTAGCACTACGACAGCTTGTGAAACGGAGACCCGAAGTCTACTGTCATCACGTACCTGGAGGTCTACATTCACATCTACCTGTGTGTCCACAGTAAACATCTGCCTGGAGGCCTTCGATCTTCCCAGAGTTATAGATTGAACATCTAAGTTGAGGTCTAGATACCACAACTTTCCTGAAGTCTACTGTCATCATGTACCCAGAGGTATTCTGCATCTACCTGCGAGTCTACAGTAAACATCTGCCTGGAGGCCTTCGATCTTCCCAGAGTTATAGATTGAACATCTAAGCCGAGGTCTAGATACCACAACTTTCCTGAAGTCTACTGTCATCATGTACCCAGAGGTATTCTGCATCTACCTGCGAGTCTACAGTAAACATCTGCCTGGAGGCCTTCGATCTTCCCAGAGTTATAGATTGAACATCTAAGCCGAGGTCTAGATACCACAACTTTCCTGAAGTCTACTGTCATCATGTACCCAGAGGTATTCTGCATCTACCTGCGAGTCTACAGTAAACATCTGCCTGAGGCCTTCGATCTTCCCAGAGTTATAGATTGAACATCTAAGCCGAGGTCTAGATACCACAACTTTCCTGAAGTCTACTGTCATCATGTACCCAGAGGTATTCTGCATCTACCTTGCGAGTCTACAGTAAACATCTGCCTGGAGGCCTTCGATCTTCCCAGAGTTATAGATTGAACAT